CACACACACACACACACACACACACACACTCAAGACAAAAACCAGGATAAAGGAGACTTGTATGATTGCATTTACACGAAAGTCCAGAATCCATGGGGACAGAAAGCAGCTCTGCCTGGGTCAGTGGGGGTGACGGACGGCACAGGGGCATGAGGAAAGTTTTGGAGGTGATGGCCCGTGGTCATGGGCTGGACTGAGGTGACAGTTTCAAGGTTGTATACAAATGTCACACTGAGTCAAGTTGTACCCTTTACATATGGGCAGTCAATAAAAAAAAAAAAAAAAAAAAAAAAAAAATGAAAAGAAGGCAGCCCAGCGGCCCCCTCGGCAAAATGGGGGCGAGCTTCCCTGTGCCGCCCTCCACCACCAGCTCGGTAGGGGGGTTGAACGAGAGATCCTCCATGAGTACTTCCCGCGCCACAAGGCATGTGATGCGTGGGGGACAGCTGGGGTCCCGCGGGTCCTTTTCCCCTCCCTGCAGCCTCCCCTCCTGTGCTCTGCAGGTTCCAGATGCTGTATGCCGACTGCTACATGAGCCGGGAGGAGTTCTGGGAGATGTTCGACGGCTCCCTGTATCACAGGCTGCGGGAGCGGCTCGGGTGCCAGGATGCCTTCCCCGAGGTGTACGACAAGATCTGCAAGGCCGCCAGGCACTGAGCAGGGGCCGGCCCCGAGAGACACAGACATGTGGGTGGGCCCCCTCCCCCAGGTGCAGGAGGCATCTTCTCTTCAGGCAAGCTTGCCGGCCCTCCCAGATCCACCCTTCCAGAAAGAAACCCCTCCAGAGATCTCACCCGGACCACCCCAGCGGCTCCCAGGGGCGGCCGAGTGGCGTGCAAAGGACGTGGGCTCCGGAGTCAGACATACCTGAGTCCAGTTCCCAGTTCCGGCACTCATTAGCTGTGTGACTCCGGGCAAGTCACCCAACCCCTCTAAACCTAGCTCTTTGCCCGTTGAAAGGGGGCAACAGTACCCGCCTGCAGGCCACAGTCATCCAGGTCGAGCGCCTGTCTCCTCGGAGGTGCTGGATACTTGTAGCGGCGGTTACTATGGCTTCCCGTTCAGCACCTCATCTGACCGGCGAGCTCCGGATTCAGCGCCGGGTCCAGGAAGGCTCCGTGCGAGGTCACCTGGGCACAGGTTTGGCTGGAAGGGTTGAAGGGATGCCCCAGAGCTGGACTGCGGGTGCTTCAGTCAGCCAGAAGCACTCCGCGCTGAGAGAAGGAAGGCTCCTCTCTCCCCCTGGGCTCTTGGGAGGGCAACAGATGGGGCAGGCAGGCCCAAGATGTGCTGTGCCAAAGGTCCCAGTCCAAAGTTCCCTCTGCCGCCCTTAGTAATGCCCTGCCCCTTGCCCCTTCCCGCTTAGGCTTGCGGGCCCATCCCAGCCACCCCCCACGTCTCAGAGAGGACCTTGTCCTCAGAGAAGACAGCACGGACTCCTGCCCTAGCCCAGGTGGAGCGAGTGGCTCCTGCTCTGAACTGGGTCCGGAGATCCCGGGCCCATCCTTGGCTCCTCAACCCTCCATGTCTCATCTGGTCCCCAGAGCGTGCCTAGTCACGGTGGGGGTGCATCCACGCTGCTCTGCGGCATGCGGTGGGGGGTCAGGGGTGGACCACACCAAGCAGGAAAATGGAGACTTGGTGAGGATTCTCGCTGTGGGGCCGGAAGGAAAGACCATCAACTTGATTTCTCCAACTACTCATCCCCCTTCGTTCTCCCCCACCCACAGCTGTAGTTAATTTCAGTGCCTTACAAATCCTAAGCTCAGAGAAAATCAGCTCCGTTTCCCTTCCAGAAGGAAGGGAGCCTCCCCAGGGCCTTCCCAACTCGTTACAGTTTGATTGTTTATGCACCTCCATCTGAAGAACCGCCCGGCCTCAGCTGAGGACCCAGAATCTGAGAAGGAAGTGTGTCTTGTGGGGAGCTGGGATTAAGCCAACTGTGCCAGGCGGTGACCTTCTGAGAGAGCACTGCCCGAGAGGCAGGGGCTGGCTTTAAGTCCCTGCTCCCTTGTCAGCAAGCCATGTGACCGTGGGCAGGTCATTTAGGCCTCTGAGCTGTGGCCCCTCATTTTACCCTGTCGTTACAGCCGGGCCCTCCTGCTGTGGGAGCACATGCCTGTCTTAGACAGTGTGCTTGCAGCGCCCCTGGAAGGTCAGGTGAGAAATAAATCCTCCAAGTGAACACTTGGGCTGTCTCTCAAGGTCCTTCCTTGGGTCCGAGACCAGCTGTCGTGTCGCTTTCAGAGAGGCGCACCTGTGGCTTGCAGGGAAGTGTCTGTCCCGTCTCTGTAAGTTGCCAGAATCCTGATGGAACCAGTCTCAACACACTGCAAAGTGTCTTAGCGTGGTCCTGTGAGTGCCGGGCGTGTTCATGGCACTCAGAAGGCAAGGGAACCCCCCCTTACCCATTTGGCCCCATGGGTGGGGGGGTGGGGGGCGGAACGTGAAAAAAAAATAAGAAACCTCATTCTCCAGCGTGTCTGCAAAGCATGTGAATTCTGGCTTTAGCTCTCATGTGGGCCCCTGTGCTTCCCAGTCGGTGCTAAGCTGATGATCCTACTTCCTGTAGAGGAATGGTTTGCCCGAGCAGAGTAACCCATCAAATAAGGCTCTGTCCTTTCACTAGAGAGGTCTCCATCCTTAAGCCGCTGGGACTGTGGCCAGAGATGCCAGCAGCCTCTATCATGCTAGATGATAGATAGTCCTAGGATAACCAAAATCCTGCCCTTCGCAGACCTCCCCTGGAAACGAGCTTGGAGGGGAAGGTCTTGGGATCACGCCAGCCTCAGGTTAATGTTTTGCTCCAGTGATCTCTTGCCCGGAAAGGGGTAGACTTCCAAGCATGGCGAGCCTAGCTACCGGCACTTTCCTGCAGAGTCCCATCACTGTCCCTCCGTGTGGTGGTTTGGGGTGCGGTGGGTGTGGAAAGTGAAGGAATAGGCCTCTCCCCTCCAGAGCCCCGAGTTTTTTGGCTGGAAGGATGCATAGATCAGATATTGCTGGAAGGGAAGGGAGGGGGTGGGGATGCGCGTGGCAGTGCATGGTGTGTGGTTATTGTTTGTCCGGTGATGACGGGGACCAAGGGGAAAGGCGCGGGTGTCCCCCAACAGGCTCTTGGCTGCAGGCGCTGTGCCCACTGTCTAGAACACTTCCCATCCCCGTGGCTGTGTGGCTGCTGCTGCTGCTACTGCTGTAAAAATAAAAGCGTTACCTGGAAATTAGCCTTTGTCGTTTCTTGCTTTGGGGACCACAACGTGGAGTCAGGCTGGGGCCAAGTGCCGGGGCAATTTCCCTCTCTGGACCTGCATGCCCGGGGATGAGGGCCGAAAGACAGTGTGGGGGGCGGGGGTGGTGCCAAGTTTGTCTCAGGCGATTTTCCAACCCGTTTTCGAGTTTGGCATCGGTCACAACGTGACCTGGCATAGGTTTCAGTAGGATCCCTCTGACCTCAGCGGGGAGGGTGGAAGCCAGGAGACCAGCAAGAAGGGCCCAGGTGAGCAGGGATAGTAGCTCAGATCAGGGAGGGGACTGCTTGTCAGACATGGTTGTCGGGAGCTCTGGGCTACAGTGCTGGCTTGGTCACTGGAACCCCTTCCTTCCAGCTGCTGGAGCTGCGTTCCCCAGCCTCCCTGGCACTCAGATGTGTCCTCATGTCTGGGCTCATCGGGACGCGAAGAGAAGTGGGAGAGAACTCCCACGTGAGGTTCTGGCACGTTCCCCTTCCATTAGCTGGATTCCAGCGACAGCCAGGACATAGGCTGTGGCTGAGTCACAAGCAGGAAGGAGCCCGAATCCCTGAGTAGCCGTGTGCGGAACTGCCCGCCGCCTGTTCCGGGGGCAGGAAATAACGAACGTTGTGGCGGAGTCACTGTGCACGTGGGACTGTTTGCTAGAGCTCTTCGATTCACCCTAGTTGGCTGTCAGGCCAAAATGAGCAGAGATGTGAGAGCTGCGTTTAGGACAATAATGTTTTAGGCAAACACGTGGATATACACGATGGACGTCTTCCTAAAATACGTGTGGTACGAAAGGTCCCATCCTGAGGTTCTTTGGGAAGAACGCTTCGGAAACCTTTTCCAGTTCGGTGTCTCACAAATCTGGATTTTGTGAATTCTCTTTAAAGGAGGAGAAATCTTTAGTGCTCCTTAAAATAGAATTCGTATTTCACGCCTTAAATGTCGCCCTGCATTGGAACAGCACACGACACACAGTATCGTATTTAATCTTAATCCTGGACCCAGAGCAGGCCCGTTTATACCTGCTCAGGCCAGGAACGGGAAGCTCAAGAAAGGGCAAGTGATTTGCCTGAAGGCCACGGGGAAGCTATTAAACAAGGATGCAACCTCGTCATCTAATCACAGCCTCAAGTCCGGGAAGAGCCTTAGCCAGCGCCAGGTGAGACAGATCTCGAAGCTGTGAAATGAGGCCCCGTGGCTGAGCCGCACACACAGCGGGTGGGCGGGAGGTGAGGGTTCCTGCTCGGTCTGCTGAGAAGGGAGGCAGGGAGCGCTCTGCTTCCTTCCAGGGCAGTTCCTTCCACCAGGAGCCCCTCTTGCCTGAACAGACCCTCAGCCCACACCTGCAGCGTCCGTGCACTAACATTCATGCAATCGGTTTTCCAAACTCGGCTCACGTAAGAAAAATCAGACTACTCAAGTTAAATGTAGACGTATTTTTTAAATACGCTTTCGTGGGGTGCCTGGGTGGCTCAGCTGGTTAAGTGTCCGACTTTGGCTCAGTTCGTGGGTTTGAGCCCCACATCGGGCTCCGTGCTGACCGCTCAGAGCCTAGAGCCTGCTTCAGGTTCTGTGTCTCCCTCTCTCTCTGCCCCTCCCCCACTTTCACTGTCTCTCTCTGTCTCTGTCTTTCCCTCTCTCTCAAAAATAAATATTTCAAAAGTTTTAAATGTGCCTTCTAGTTCTATCTTGGTTATTAAACGGCCTATAGGTTTCGTCTGGCATGACTAATTAATGCCAGTGACTGCTCTGACAAGCTGTGTTGAGAAAATACGTTTTGTTGAGGTCTAGGAAGGGGTATTTTGATGGTGCTAGGGGTTGAATGTGTCCCCCACCCCCAAAATTTGCATGTTGAAGCCCTGATGTGATGGTATTGGGAGGTGGGGCCTTTTGAAAGTAATTGGATCATGAGGGTGGAAACCCCAGGATGGGATTAGTGTCCTTATAAGAAGAGACTCAGAGGGGCGCCTGGGTGGCTCAGTCGGTTGGGCGTCCCACTTCAGCTCAGGTCACAATCTCGCGGTCCGTGAGTTCGAGCCCCGCATTGGGCTCCATCGGGCTCCGGGCTGATGGCTCGGAGCCAGGAGCCTGCTTCTGATTCTGTGTCTCCCTCTCTCTCTGCCCCTCCCCCGTTCATGCTCTGTCTCTCTCTGTCTCAAAAATTTAAAAAAGCGTTAAAAAAAAAAAAAAGAGACTCAGAGATCTAGCCCTCCTTCTGATAGCCGCCATCTGAGGATACAAGATGTCCATCTGTAAACCAGGAGGAGGGCTCTTAGCAGATACCCGATCCGCCAGCACCTTGATCTTTGACTTGTCGGCCTCCAGAACGATGAGTAATAAATGCTTGCTGCTTAAGCCACCCATGCTATGGTAGGCTGTCATAGCAGCTTGAACTGCTGAAGTCAGATAGGGTGAAGA